ATTTTAAAGTAAAGTAATTTTTTCGTGTCTGTTGCGCATCTCACTCATCCACTCACTCACTCACCCACCCACCCATTCACCCACTCTCTCTCTCTCTCTCTCTCTCTCTCTCTCTCTCTCTCTCTCTCTCTCTTATCGCGGAGATCGCTCTGAAGAAAGATCTAAGACGATAAAACAATTATTTAAATGCGCTTGTTTCTGATTTAAACTGCCATATCGTGGAGCAGCGTGTCCGTGAGTTCGATTCGCACATTTTCAATTCATAAGCGTCATCATCACCGATTCCTTCGTACGCCGAACTGTATAGCCTAGAAGTCAAGATGTGATACAAAAAGATTGTCAAAATTGAATTCATCATCATCATTATCATCATCATCATCATCATCATCATCATCTTTTTCCTCTTCCTTATTATCATCATTATCATCATCATCTTCATCATCTTTCTCCTCTTCCTCATCATCATCACCATCACCACCATCATCATCATCCTCATCATCTTTCTCCTCTTCCTCATCATCATCATCACCGTCATTATAATTATCATTCTCATCATCATTATCATCATCCGACGACGCCGACACATTCACACATACAACACGCTTCCTCGTGTTCTACGGGATTACGATTATGAGCAATGTCGTTGTGAGGTGCAACGACCGACCGTCAAGTTCACTAGCTACCTAGCCATCGACTAAGCATACGTGTTTTACGTAATACCGTTGTCTACGTATTATCGCCTTAAAATCTACGGGCAACAGTCTTCTCGAAATCTGACGTGTGATGTATGCGATCACTTCCCTTTGATACTTTCTAAACTTTTCCTCTTTCTTTTCTTGGGCTATGTAGTTCATCGTCTTTGCCCTATGAAGATTCGCCATTTCGTTAATTATTTCGATATTTTGATTCATCATTTTCTACTCTGGCAATGGAGATAGTGGAAAAAACTCGAAATTAATAGAGTGTCCTCTTTGAGCGTATTTTCCTTTACAAGAATGTTTTCTGGAAGTTATGTAAATATGCATTTATTTGGTTCTATAATTTTCATACTAAGTTTTACATGTCTGACGTCGAACTTTGAATACATTAATTCGAATTTGTGCCTAATTCGGTTATAAATAATATTGAGATTTTTATTTCTCTTTATTTTATTTAAATTAAATTATAAATTGTAAAATAAACGATAATAGAGTATCACTTGATGAACATGATACTCTATCTCTATCATCGATTTCTCGATTCAAAAAATTAAACCAGTTTTTTGTTGAAACGTGATCAATTATCACATTTCAATCTATTTTACATTTTCTTGAAAGTTATTCTTTGACTTGAATATAATTTTTTTGTCTATATTGTCAGTTTTCTCAGATCTAATTAAACTTGTTTTTTTTTCGCAAGAATATTTACTTTTTACAAATTACTAAATTTATTGTTATTTCTTCTCATTGCAAATTTTTGTCTTCTTATCTTTTATTTCTTTTGATCGATCTTATATCTGATTAGATATTCTTAATTAAATGATCATATATAGTGATTTAATTAGCGCGAGCGTGGCATGGTAAACAACTCACTGGTCTATCATGCCAAAGGTCCCGAGTTCGATCCTGGTAGGAACCAAAATATTTACGCTCGTGTCTCATCTTGGAAAAGGCCGGCAACTCCTGACAGTATTTTGCCCACAGAAACCTCTCGAAAAATCCGCCATTCGGAACTGGCATTCAAACTGTAGATCCCATATGCTTGTAGCAATTGAATAATCAGCGTACGCATCACAAGCATATGAGAGGTGTAACATAGGCCAGAGGCCTAACATAAGAGAAAGAAGAAGAAGTGATTATTTATACAAATACCAATATTTCTTCTTTTAAGAGTTCTTTCAAAGGATTCATTTCCTGTATGTATTTCGCTGCAACTAAAAGCAGCCTCAAAAGAGCTTTATTCAAATAATTTATTCGACATCATTCTACTCTTCGAGAATAGTCTGACTTAGTTATGGAAGCAGACAATATTATTCCTCTAAGAGCGACTTCTTGGTTCATTGGCCCTAAAGCTCTCTTTCAATGACAGCACGCGTCTACACATCTGTCAAACTTCAGCTTCCAGGCAGTATCAACATTAAAGGTTTTATCTTTCGCGACCTCTCTGGAAGTTGCGATGTGTATTTAAATATTCATTTCAAATATCGTTATCCGTTGGCCCATCATTCAGGGATGCTTTCGAGCGTCGTTGAAGTTAGCCGTCAAATGAGCAGGCATAGTTTGTTCCGATTTTTCCTTTCCGGGAGTAACGCTTTCGACTTACCGGCATCCTCCGAGTTGCTTCTCGCGTAAAGAGATCTGCTGATGCGATGCCGGACTCCTTTGCTCAACGTACGTCCACCTTTTCTCAATGAGGCGAACCTGCCGAGCGACGATCTGTCCGGCATTTGTTCCTTCTTGTCAGCATGAGCGCAGTTTAAAGTCGTGACCGTGAACTCAATGTCCTTAGGCTCGTAAGAAACAAATTCTTCCACTGGTTCCTCGATCGTGTCGCGATCGATCCATGTCAGTCCCATCTCGACTTTTTCCGCCAAATCCTGCCAGTGCTTTCGATTCTCCATGGTGCCTTCGTAGAGCGGCAGTATCCATGGAAACGTTTCCGATAAGACCTTGTAGAGTGGCAGGCAGATCACATCAATGAAGCCGACCTGCATTTGCGGTAATTCATCCCTCCTCTCGCGATCCATCATCGCCACCGGCTGCTGATTGAGCTGAAGGCGCTCTAGATCGCCTTGGTCGAAGAACTCGTCAGCTACCAACTTTGCCACGCGATGCTGCACATCCCAGGGCTTTGCTATCGCGCTCACGTCACATGCTGTCATCATCATGCCACATAGCACTGTAAAAAACAAACAAACAAAATTAGTTAATTATTTGTGATGTTTGAAAAACTGTTGAATAAAGATTATTATCAAGGAATTACATTCTTTCTTCTCCTCGCTCTGCCAATCAAACTCGCCCTCGTCGATCACTTCCATGAAACGATTCCTCTTTTTAAAATACATCGCTAGGTCGGTTGATAGAATAGCACTCTCCACGACCTTCATCACGCGTCTGTAATCCTCCATCGATAAACTCTGGAAAATGTTGTTGCTATCAGAATTCAGGATCATGACGCACTGATCGAAGTGATGATGCTCCATTGTGCTAGTTGAGTAAAGGATTGCCAGTGGAGATTCGGTTTTCATCTGAAACGCATTGTTGGTGCCACGATGATCCAGATCGTGACAGAGACAAGCCACTAGGAGTCCAAGAATTTCCAGATCGGTCATAAATTGTTCCATTTTGCCGGTCTTCAACATCGCAAACATTGTTTGCGCGACATTCAGCGCGTGCCGCCAATTATGGTACTTTACTGGCCTGTCAAGAATAATTTCCAATTGTAATTTTGTTTAAGATTGCGTGTTTAGAAGTTTCGTGAAGAAATAGAAGCGTGGAACGAAATCAATAATGAAACAAGAATATCTACCTATAATTCTTCTTCACACTCAGGATCCACCTACACAGAACGTCGTACGGTATGTGGAATTTCTGTATAAGATCACATTGCTTGAACATTCTGATGGTAGCACGGCATGTGTCTTCGTCGGTGAGATCAAAGTCGATGAATGTGAAACTGTAGAGGTTGTACGTTTCCGCGGACGGTATAGGATCGGAGACGAGGCGTAGAGCGTCTTCGTTGTTGGCGGTCGCGTGATAACTCAGACACTCGAGGGCCACCTTCTGCTTCGCCATCAGCTTGCACGCGGATTCGTACATCTGCGTATTATGAATACCGAGACCGCAGAAAATAGCAAATGCCTCGAATATTGACACGTCCGAGTCGGTAAAAGATGTGCCGTTGTCCTGCAAAGAATTTTGTTCATTATTAATCCTACATTACTCGCGTAGTTTTTTTTAACGTAATTACTCGCGTGGGGTGATTCTGATATTCCAATATTATACTTCAATTTTCGTTGTTCTCTTCGATGATTTATAATTAAATAAAAATATATAATATTCTATACATTCTTTAGATAAATGCAAAATTTTTTTAAACAATTTGTTAAATGCAATAATGTGTTTAGCAAATTGTTAGTCTAAATAGCATTTATATATTTAGCGAATTTATTTAGCGAATTCATTAAGGCTGGGGTATAGGTATATCTTGGACTCTCCTCACACGAATAATGAAGAATTAATAAGTACTAATCGCTATTAATAAAATAATTTTATCTAGTGATTAATAAGGGAAGAATATCTCTTATTATAGTGTCAGAAATAATATCTATTTTTTTTTATCGATGAATTTTATCATGATACAATATCATTGCTTGACACCCAGCGATCTGTTCTCAAGCAACGTATAGTTTAAAAAGTCAATAACATAAAAATTGTGTGATATTTAATGCAGCACATGCAGATTATCATTAACGGATTATAATATTAAGAATTAAATGCAAAATACATATATCTAAATGCAAATACAAACTATCAATAACAGATTAATAGATTATTCAAGATTATTGTGGATTATCACGGATTATTATTGTACTTAAAAATGAAAAATGAAATTTTATCAATTCAAACCTTGTTGATCAATTGAGCAACTCCGATGACAATTCTTTGTCCATTGACGATCGGCATACACAGAATACTTCTGATGGGTTCCTTTCCACTTTCCATTACGTCTTTCTTCAACCACGTGGCGACGTCGCCAATGTTGAGAATTTGACCCGTCGCGGCGACGTATCTTGCGATCTGTCCCAGAGAACTCGATAGATTGTTGTTACTTGGTCGATACACCCGAGCTTCTAGTGTTTCATTCTCCATCTCGAATACCATGGTAAATTTACTACCTTCGGCCGATGCCTGAAAGCAATAGATTATGTAAACATTGAAGAATAAAAAAGATCTGTGGTATTTCTCTCTTAGGGTGCATCCAGATTATAGCCGAACATCGAGCCGCGAGCCGAGCCTGCGCCCATATTCAAAGATTCAATGTGAATCTATATTCATTTCGATAATGGTTTAACATTAACAAGGACAAGATGATGAATCCAAGACATCCGAGTGACGTTTCCGAACGCAGCCATTGTAGATGTAGAGTCTTTGAATGTGGACGCAGACTCGCGGCTCGATAGTCTGGACGGAGCCTAAGAAAATAAAATGTTAAACTATTAAAAGGATTTAATGTGTTGATTAACGTCACGGAAATTAAGCGACGAAGGAATATACGTTTGCTTCGTCGGAAGGGCTGAAAAATTTCGTCTTCTTGTTTATTTATGTAGGTATATATTTGAGTTTATAAAGTTGAGATTACTCACGTGCTGTTGAATAATGTCCTCCATGTCGATGTTATTGCTCTGAGCCGCCAGGAAAGAGAAAAAGATCATCAGACTTACAAATTCGAGTAACACGTGCCGGTGCCACTCACCTCTCTTCTCGATAACGGCTTTCTGCTCTCTTGCACCGACTTCCCGGGCCGCTCGACGATTTTCTCGAGATGTCCCTAAAATAGATCTTAGCACTTTTTACTGTGTTTTTAATTGCCACGTAGGGCATTTAACTGGGACATTAAAAATTAAACACTAATTCGTTTTGTGACTAGCTTCAAAAATTGCTCCACATTTTCTGCGACTTTATTATACAATCCGATGGAATATTATCGTAAGTAATATATCGTATATGAAAAATTGAGTTCGTGGAGAGAAAGTACTTACTGCTTCGCCGCAGTCCAAATCCAGCAGGTAAACGGCGCATCTCTCGCACTTGAGCAACTCCTTCGCCTCGGTCATGATCTTTGTGACGAGACACTCGAGATTGTTCTGTTCCTCGAATATGTTCCGCGCCAGATTGAGGAGTATCTGATTGCGCCGGTATTCCTGCACGGACAACTCGAACAATTGCGCGTTCTGTATGCCGATGCCACAGAATGTGAGGTATCTGCGATAATCGATGCCGTCGTAAAATTAGACGTGCGATCGTATTAATAAACGTATCGATCGCCCGCGATGCCGATTATAATTGCGCGTACATGGCAATTACATAGTGTCTTGTAACTGGCCTTGCGCCATTATGTAATCAGTTAATGTAACTATGTTCCAACGTTTATCTAAACGTTGTCCAGTACCTGATTATTATACATAGTTATGCGAAGCTACCAATTTTTGGAACATACTATATGTTTTACAATTTTCCCACCTTTGAAACACTTCGACGTCCCTGTCTGTAAATTCGTTGCTGCCATTCGTCTTATTGATGATCTGAGCAACCCCGATGACATCGCCCTCGTAATTACAAATTGGCATCGACAGAATCAACGTCGTTTTGTATCCGGTTCGCATGTCAATGGTGCTGTTGAATCTCGGATCCTGATGAGCGTGAAATATCTATTTTAGTCTTGTCGACAAAGATACAAAACTGGTCATCGATTATAATTAGCTCTTATACAATTACTCAGAAGGTTAATTACATTTTTTTTCTTTATCGAGCTACGAGCGTTGTAATAATCACGACGCCACGAGGTTAAACAGAAAATTCAAAGAAATGTATCGAAACGTTCTAAGAAAAAAAAAAAAAAACGTGAAGTGAAACCTTGTAAGCGTCTTTGATGTTGATAATCTCCTTAGTTTGCGCTACGTAACCGGCGATGCCGACTCCGAACGGTATTTTGAGTTCCTCGTTCTTAGCCCGTTGAATGGCTTCCTCGAGCTCGGTTTCCTGAGTGACGTCAAATAGTTTCGCCACCAGGTACCGATCCTCCAAAGGTCCTTTTGCCAGGAACAGGCTGCCGCGATCGGCGTAAGTGAGTAGGCCGACGTTTACCAGGATCTTGTGGCAGAGGACATTGATGTCCAATTCGTTTGCCACGTCTCTTATCAGCTCCATAAACAGATCGCTCTCGTCCAGTCTACCGAGCTCCTCGCGACGACCCATTAGCGTGCTGTAAGGTCTGAAAGGTTTAATACTTGCGCTACCTAAGTATGAAGCGAGTTTCAATTAGGTTTGAAAAGATTTTTGAAATATTTATTATTTTATCAAAATATAAAACGAGTTATATATGATATTTACGTATTATTTATATATATATATATATATAGTTTATCATGTTTTATTTGTCATGTTATTTATCTTAAGGTGACTTTGGAGCGATTTGATTATACAACACGAAGATATGAGATAAAGTTATTTTGTTGTGAATCTATTGTTTTTTTTACCTGTTGGGACTTCTGCTGCGCTTTGCGGGTGAACTCGAGGCCAGCCAAGTCTGAAAGAGATCGGATGTGACGCTGTTACGTTTGCTCCGGTTGAGAAGGTTCTCTTCCTGCTGCACGCTGGGCGCGCTCGGCGTTATCGTTTGCAGCATACACGTGTTCTGCAATCTCTGTCGAAGCTGGAGACTCGCTTTTTCCCGCAGCCACGTTTCGACCACAGCAGGATGCGTCTCCAGGTACCTTTGTTATAAAAATTTAACGATTGTGCACACACAAATTTGTTACAGTTTTTATAAATTTTTTATTATTTTCTATAATGGTTAACAACAATAATAATGATATCTAACTGTCTAAACGTTATGAAAAAACGTTATGAAAAAATAAAATAAAAATAATTTGTGTAAAATGTAACATGTTGTCGTATGCAACGCTAACGTTTCGTTAAAATTGTTCAAAAAAAGATTTAAAAATAATTAGTTCGACAATATGCTGTCATTGAGTAACACAAAATTGATATGAGTCGGTTACCTTCCAACTCTATCCATAGTGAGGTTGTCTTCCTCGTCGTACTCGTGTATAGTGTCTTGGCAGCTGATTCTCTTGCTTCTATACAGCCTGGCGATCTCAATCTCCTTTACATCAGTCTTTGTGCTTGTACTTAGGGGTACTTTTGATTCTGATCGCACGGACGTTTTCAACTTTTTGGAACTGTCGTCAGTGGAGCCGACAATGTCCGATTGCTCGAGATTGGACGAGCGCACTAAAGGACAGTCGTCCTTCTCCGGTGTCCTCTCGGACACCGGCTTTGTAGAGATCTTCATCGTCTCGAAGTTTTCGAGGTTGTTGTTATGATTCGCCTACCAAAGGTATCGGAAATCGAAGCTATCTGTTTGTTCGTCACAATTTATCTTTTATCTCGCTATTCTGTGATTCTATGATGTTATTTTGTGAGATTGAAAAGAGAAGTATAGTAAACTGAAATTCTAGTAAATTGAAATTCTAAACTAAATAAACTAAACTGAATAATGATTGACTTTTAATTGACTGGGACCTGGATTTTAATAATACACTTTTATGAAAGAACAGTTTTTAAAATACATACGTTTTTGTCAATTGGTAAACATTATTTTTTTTAATTATTTGGACATGTTACTATTATAATATTTTTACGTACTAAACTTTTACAAAACATTTTGTATTTCTGAAAAGTATGTCAGAATCTTTACAGAGTAAGAATTTATATAATATAATATAATTTTTTATTTTTTATTTTTTATAAAAGAGAATTATGAATAAGTAACAATATTAGATAAAAATTTTAGATAATTATTTTGTTCTAAAGTGTTAAAAGCAATATTCAAGAATTTGTATGTTCTTATTTTTTTTATATGTAATTTTTTGACAATTTTAAAGTCTTTAATATCCAGGTTCTCTAGTCACAAAGTGTCTTTAATTTGTTTAAATTGCAGCCATTCTGTTATAACGACAAAAGCATTAATGCAAATTGTTTAATTACTTCCGTGTCGACGGCCTCCGACAACTCATCATCCACTTCGTCTTCTGCTTCCATATCACCTTGAGCTTAATGTAACGTGCATCGAGCGCAATAGGAACGTTTCACTTATGCGACGAAAATCATGCGAATAAGAGGAAGCTTCACATCTCGTCGCTCCTTCGTTTCCCGTACATCTTCGCAAGTCTCGGAAATACGAATCTGAAAAGATTTGAAGTTTCTTCGTAATACGAAAACTCTGCTCTCTCTAATAATTTTTTTTTATTTTGTTCTTATGCTCTATTCTATACTATTGGTAATATTGAGTCATCATTTTTTGCTTTCTTTTTATAATTTGTCAGTTTACAGAAACAATTTATTAAAGAAACATTAGTTAAATTAATTTAAATGTGAATTAAACAAACAATTCTCATTACTCTGAATGCGTCGATTAAAATACGAAATTATTATTGTTGTAGCAACGGAACCACTTTATTTAAACGAATGCCTTCGATAACTTGAACTAATTTTTTAAATATAAATATGTATATGCAATATGTAAAATATTCAATTTTCTATTTTACCACTTCAATTAATATAATTCATAACGTAATTCATGAAGTTATTACTTTTGGAATAATCTAACAAGATCTCGTGCGACTTAAATATGCTTTAACATTTTATAATTTTTATTTAAATGTATGAGATGTTATCTATGAATGTTAAGGATCGAAGACGAATGAATTTTATATTTTATGAATTGTGTAACTCTTATATGGTGAGGTGTCTTTCTTTTCTCCTCAGTTAGTCGTTCCTCTTGCACGTTTTCGTCCTTTTTTGTTCTCCTTCGTCCCCTGCGAAGGATCGAAGGCAACGATCCACTGGGGAAATTCATGTCTAATCACTGAATTATGAAATTACGCAATTCAATATTCATGAAGAAAACTGTCCAGCCGCCGTCGTCTGCAATTCTCAATGAGAATAACCACTTCGCATTAAGTCCCTTGTTAATACGTTTCCTGTCGATGATTATCCTCCCCGCGCCGCGTCTCTAGCTCATACAACTCTGACATTTTATCCGCTAAATTGGAATCGAGACTACGGATAATTGGAATATCATGACGGTATGAGTGGATGCGAATTCAGCATTTTTGTGAATTTTCTATTCTGAAGTGTATCATAGAGCATCGCAATTATTTCTATTACGAGATACTATCGCATTACATCTTTTAGTAAATACATTATTATTATGTTTAAGATATTTGAACACTATCTATTTTATAAGCTTATCACACCTTTTAATTTGAAAAATCAGAATATATTTTCTTCATCTGTACGGTTATAAAATTACATTTATAAAATTAAATAAAATTTAATGTAAAATATATTGTATTATATATATATCGTTTATTTGCGTTACAAAGTTTGATTCGAGACAATTTAATAACTTTAATAACTAATATCTTGGAAACTATTGGAGTATAATGATGTTCTCGCAAATAAAAATATTTGCTATCAAGACAAGACTACAAGTCCATTTTCTTAATTCTTGCGTGTTGTAATATACTTTATCATAATATTTATTTTTAATTTTTATGTTTATTTTAATTATAATACTCGAATTTCAAGCAAAAGAGGTAGCAATTTAACGATATTTAATTCAATTTTCGAAAAAGTATAAATATATTCGTATTATTTAGATTGAATAGTCATAGAATTTGCGTATTGATTGTCTAATTAGAAAGGAATATGTCAATTATTTGTTCAAGGAATCTACACTTATTTGTTTAAGGATTCGCGATTAAAGAAGTTTTCCTTAAGTTTGGTCGTTTATTTGCTTACAAAACCTGAATAGATATGCCAGCACAAACATAGCCATCTGCATTGCTCACCTGCAGTAAACCATTCGCGAGGAATGTCTTATAAATGCAGCACACCCGCGTGTCCGGCCCGAAATAGCCATCACTCCTGCAAAATGTCATTCGCGATTTCTTTCCGCACGTGAACGCTCGCCTTCGCATACAATCGAGTCCTTCGTCGACAGTCACCACGTCGAACGCACATCATTTCAACAAATCACAACGTTCCTCGACGTTTTGTCATCATTTTTCTTCGACGCGAGCGTTATGGAAACGTACGAATACGTATATATACAAAAGTCGCATTTTATTTTTATTCCACCCGCGATTCCCTCTCGGTAAACATGCCCTCCTTCATTTGCGTCGCGTCAATATCCTTTCTTTAATTCAAGCGTGTCAAGGATACGTTCGGTCTACTGCGTTCCGTTCTCGTCCCGGCATATGTCGGCACACGATGTACTTCCGAAAGTGTTCAATTGCGATCGACTGGACGGAACCGATTGCTCAAAAAGCGCGACCATTGTCGCGCGATCACGCAGACGCATCTCGATGTAACTCGCGTACTTTTTTTCTTTTTTTTTTCTTTTTTTTTTTTTTCACGTTCAAGTTCGTCGCCGTTCGATATATCCGTCACAGCGTGTCTCCCAGTCTCTGTATCATCTACGAGACCGCATCACTTGTGGCGTGCCTCTTCCGTTGCAAGATTGTCGGATCAAGCACGGAAAGTCTTCGCCTCTCCCAAAGTTGAACTCAACCGTGGTTCTTTTTAATCATCTTTACCGACTTATTTCCTGTACTTGTAATTAACCTTTTATTTCTTTCTCGTAGCAATATAGGAGCGTGCGATGTGACGATTTAGCGGCAGGATCACGCGCGATCGACGTGAGCTCTAAATGGGAGGATCTTCAGCCGCTTCCGGAAGCGAGATCATCACCTCCTCCGCACGCGGCTTCGATCGTCGTCTCCACGTCGCGTCGTCGGTCTCAAATAGAAAAGTCGTTCCCTTCCTCCTCAGTTATTGCCTGCCCCGTAAGTTATTTACCGAGGCCCGCTCTGATCTCGCGCCGGGCAGGATCAACGCGCAGCTCGTTGACACGCGACCGCGAACTCGAAACCCTCGAAACCGCATCGACCGGTAGGTCCTCGCGTGCTCCTCTTTCTCATCCTCATCCTTTCCTCGCCGGGACAGGATCGTCTCGCAATAGAGTCAGTGCCGTCGTTGCGATGTTGATCAGCAACCGTTTAGTAATAAACTAGTCTTTGAACAATCTTCGAATCATCGGACAGATTATTACTCGTTCTCAAAGCACCGTTTCTCGAGGGATCACTTTGTTCTGTCGATATCATAATTTCAGATCGGCTCGCTGGCACCCTTCGCAGCTTCTTCCACTTGCTCGGGACACCTCTTGTTTCCGTTTTACAGTTTCGGAGATTTCGAAGGATTTCCCGAATGATAGTCCGAATGGATCTAGGATGATCGCTGCACCACGATCACCACCAGCGCTATGTGGTGTATCGCGAATACGTGTCGCACCGGGACGCGCCGCGACGCGACGGTCGACAACGACGTCGATAGCAGACAGCTGCGGACCGGTTGAAAGCTCCGAGCTTACTGAAGTCTCCCCCTTGGGTCAGGCGGACGCGGGTGTTCGAGGAGAGTGGCGCGGAGTAGTAGAGCTCGGCTGGTGGTTACGCGTCCGAGCCTCCCACGGCTTCTCCGCTCCGCTCCGCTCCGCTCCACTCCGCGCGTGTCTCGTACGCTACCGTCCGCGATCGTCTTGGGCTATTACTATCTCCGCGTCTTCGGACGCGCGTTCCGACGCGTATGCATACGTCTGTATACTCGAGTATCTCTTCTTAATGCACGTGAGTCCAACTAACGCTTATCGTCCTCATGCTCGTGAGTACTACTCAAGTAGGTATATCAGTACATCTATATACGCAGCGAAGCTCACAGACGCTTATCTCATCTTCGTGAGTAAGGTAGTCTCGTTATGCGCGTGTGCGCAGAGCTTACGGACACTTATCTTCCAACTGATGTGGACAAAGTTGCATGTGTGTGAGTCTGTGTATCTTTATATATATATATATATATATATATATATATGTATGTATACGTGTGTGCGCACGTGCGGCAGGGATACCGAGAGGAGACGTCTTCTCTCTCGCGCGCTCTCTCGCTGTGCTCCGGGAAAGATCGATAGCAGCCAGTGGAGAGAGAGTATCTAGGACGCAGGCAGGCAGGCAGGCAGGCAGGCAGGCCAGACGGGTAGACGGGCAGGCAGGCAGGCAGGCAAGCAGGCAGGCAGGCAAGCAGATAGGCAAGCAGGCGGGCAGCATCCCCTATCGCTCGCGAGATTTTTGACTTCAAAATTTCGCAAGCACCCGCCGATGTGCGTCGATAGTCGATGATGCCGCGGCTCGATCGATCGACCCGCTTCGCGCCGCGCCGCGTCGCGCCACGCTTCGCTCTCCCGCGCGTGTTTTGCGGAAGCTAACGAGCGCGGAACCATCATTAATCGAACACCTGTTCCTAATGCGTTTCGGGGAAATTCAACTATCGACGCGTGCGTCGTTATTAATACGGCACGGTACGGGGGTGCACGGCGTCACGCCGTTGAATTTCAACCCTTAAGAGCACTGGTGTACCGCTCGTGAAATTTTCATGAAATCTAGGCGGTATTGTACAACACCAAAAGTATTGTACAACACCACGCGATGTATCTATCATTAATAATCGGGCCGTTAAAATAAATGAGATTACTCTTTTCCCACGTGCGCGGCCTTTGATATTCGATGTAATAATTGAGACGTCGTATGCGTAGAGAGAAAGAGAGGGAGAGACGGAGAAAAAGAGAAAGAGACAGAGATTCTGCAGTACAGTACTTAAGGATTTAATCCTTCTTCCAACGTAATGAGAAATAATCCTATTAGTTTTTGCGACTTTTTGTACGATTGCACTTACGATAGATATTAGTTTTTAGCCTCATAGAAAATATTGGACTGCAAGGGACTGGAGTATCCATAACTTTTAAGCTCTACTTAAACACGGCTTGACATTTAAAAGTAGTCTCGCAAATTATCATTTTCTTGTGCTTCTGAGTTTCAATTAATTTGAAAGTATTGTCAATGGAATAAGCAGCATCGGTATGTTTTCTAGTAAACAAGATTTAGATCGGCTAACGATCATTCCATCCTTCTCGCTCTTAATGCCATATAATCATTTGGTATTATATGTAAACCCTTATCAATGCTAATTGGCAAGCGTTTCGTGTTAACGCTCCGTTTGTTATGCAATATACACACATGCGTGTATATACCTAACTTTGACGTACGTCCATCACGAGAAAATCGGATTACGTTTACATCCATATACATACACAGTGTGCCGCACAATTTCCTTTACATTTTTTATTTTCGCTGTTCTTCGCCTTCCAGTTTTGACTGAGATTAGCAGGAAATATTTTAATTTCCAGATGATACACTTGGATAATCGGACTTTCAATTAATTTTTCGTCAAGGCCGAATCTAAATGAGACGCCTAATTTGCCAAAATCAATAAAGTTTTAACGTTAAATATTAATACAGTTTCAATGTAACATGCAGTTAATTCTGCAGTTAAGTCTTTTATCAAGCTTTAACTAAGACATTATCGATTATGCATTCAGTCAGAAAATTGCCAGAGAAAGCAGAACACGTTTTCTGAATATTTTGTATATTCAGGTGGTGCATAGCGTCCTATTCTTCAGATTCTTCTTTACATAATATTAATACGTGAGCCGGAAGTATGTATTCTTTCTTGAAGTTGTCTTGATTATGTTAAAATTATGCAACCGAACTGATTCACGTCTCTTGCTATTATTTATACTAATATGATTGTTATCTATTTTAGTTAGTTAACATTTTTATCCTTTCATCTTTGACAAAGATATTATTTACTTGTTTATTTAAAAAAAATAGATTAATTGAATAAGAATCACTATCTATTTTACTAGCTTGAGCTTCTATCTATGACGTAATCTTGCCACCAAAATCAATGTATTTACATTGATGTCTGTTACGGACGAGAAATCAAACGCATTTCTGAATTCCCATTTCTCAAAATCCTTTTTAGGACAGCCAATCGACAATTAACTGTTCCCATTTAAAGCGGATGTTCTCACGAATAACAGATATAACGAGGTCATTTAGTTAAACTATCACGGCTTTGTCTTCTTTATTTGTATTTTTCTTTTTCTCTTTTCATTATCTACTTTGCTGTTTGATTTTAACTACGATTCTAATTCTATCGCGAGATTAAATTGTATTTTCAGCAAGATTGAATTGTATTTTCTGCTACGTTATAGAAATAAGTCGCGCGTTTACTAAAGCGTTTCTTTACGACAATCTGCGAGATCTTGCCGTTACTTACAAAGTTGTACCGAAGTATTTTACATAATTACATAATTACAATTACCAAAACAAAGGAATTATTTATACTCTTGCGACTAACTTACTTATGTAATGTTTTGTGATATGAAAATCGAAAAAGGTATTAATACCGGTGGAATAAGTTATTATGAAAGGTTAAATGAAAGAGCGCATATAGAATTTTCACAGAAACGTGAAGCTGCAATAGAATCTCCAATATTTTCTCGCAAAATTATGTTTTTTTAAATTACAACGTTTTGATCAAACTCCATGGATATTGCACATATTGTTCTCAACTTTTTCTCGATCTTTTCTGCAATAACATTAAAGTATGGAGGAAGATTCAAAGGATTTGGGAACTTAAGGTCTGCTTCGATTTGCGCGTATCGGCCAATTGAGTTTTGCGGAACTGCACACGATAAAACATGTGTGACACAGCCGATAGAGGTGGAGACAAATTGTCGGACACCGATATCGCCTAGGGCAAGATTTCGTCCTGTTGGATTCTGGCCAGGGTTATGGTTTCGAAAATGGGATAACGATTCAAAGGATGGGAAAAAAGAAGATTGTGGGGAAAATAAAAATCGCGAGGAGGGTCATCGAGATTTGATAGTTGCTAAATGACTTTTTAGCGATGACGAAAAGGAAAACGGGTCAGGGATTGAATGAAGGCATTAAA